TCCTAAGGGGCAAGAAAAATATTACCAGACCTTGTTCACTCGACTAGACAAATGTTACGGAGATGCCCATCTATAACAAGTCTACAAAGCATAACTAAGAAGTAGAATTCAACGAGCAAGTGAGAATTTTCAAGAATTTGAAGCAGCTGTTGCTCGTATAGCGCGGTTGGCTTATCCGGAGGTACCAGACAACATTTTTGAAGAAATTGCTGTAGATACCTTCGTCAATGGGTTGAGAGACAATGAACACGCTACAATACCTAATGGGAGAGTTGTTGATAGGTTGGAGGATATTGATTCCGAAGTTTGTGAAAACGGTATTGTCGCCGAATGAGATTGATTAAAACTATTGCTATAACTAGAAGCGTCGGTAGTTACTTGGCCATGAAGATTTGCATTTATTGCAGGTTAGACTATCCTGAAAATAAAGATTCTATAGGAAGTATTTTCGTAATTTACTGTAAACGAATCAGGTACGACAAAATTGTATGGACTGATATAGACTGGTCTTCGGAAACTTAGTATGTAGCTATATTCTGGTAGATTTGAACTAATCCTAAGAAAAGAGATCGAAAATTTAAGCCAAATTTTTTAATTCTTCACAAAGCAGTTCATAAAGAATAGTTGGAGATACATTTGGCAGTACAAGTCCCTCAGCTGGTGTTATAAGTCGACGTGCCTTTTGAACGTCGATTTAGCCGTGGGAATTCATAAAATCCTTTAACAGTTGTTTACTAGATAGATATATGCAAATTAATTCTATTATTTAATAAAAGGGTGACAGAAAATAATATTTCTGGGTCATATTATGCTTCCTAAAGTGATAACGTAATCCTGAAGACGAGCTTCATCGATTGTGCCTAAAATTATAGTCTGATCTTTTTCTGGAAATTGCGGAATGTGACTTAACGGTGATAGATTGACTTTGAATAGGAGTGGAAACCAACTCATTATTTGACTCCATCGTTATCTTGGACAGTTGGCCCGAAAATTTCGGTGCTGACCTGTCCAGTTGCTGATAACAACTGCATCCATACCCCAATACACCTCGTATAGATACAAAATTTTAAGCGTTTAAGGTTAATAACCAATTTGATTTGCGGCTTAATAATTATATACAGATGACTTATAGTTAATCATCTAATTATTGCACTATAATTTAACTAAACACTATTCTTAAATCCCACCGTAAATTGCAAATTTTATGGACCGAAAAAAAAAACACTGTTTACTACTGTAAAGCCAGGACGGCCTCCATTCAGTTTTTTGCTTATTGTTGTACATGTCTTAATAATTTCGTCCGTAACTATCATAAATAGTGTTAAGCTAAGTGCTCCTCTCTTGGACGTACAATAGCTTAATTGTACGAACAGCTTATAAAAGGCCGCCTTGAGCGAGAGCTATGTAGCAGAAAAGCATGCGCTGAGCGACCGCCAATATGGTTTTAGAGCCAAAAGGTCCGCCATAGATGCGGTCACAGAAGTAACCTCTTTAGTCACGCAGGATACAAAGAGATGGGTGGCTCTCATCCTGCTTGACATCAAGAATGCCTTTAATACGGCATCATAGAAAAAATTATGTCCAGGCTGAGAGAATTAGGCGTTAGTGAGTACCTGGTTAACGTAATTGACAAATACTATACTGACAGGTCCCTAAGATAAAAGGATACCAGCAATAGTTTGTCTCAGGGTGGTCCACAGGGTTCAGTACTAGGTCTCATCCTGTGGAATGTCTGTACGACGGGGTGTTGAGGCTACAGATGCGAAGGGGATGCACTCTTTTAGCTTATGCCGATGATCCCGCACTGGTTGCGAAGGCGAGTCAGAAAACGGACATGGCTAATGCGGCTAACATGATCAGGAACTATATACATCTAGCGCTTCAGACATCTGAGGTGTTAGTTCTCAAAGGGACCTGGGAAAAATCCTCTCTTCGCTTTATAGTGGAAGATGTGGAGGTTGCACCGGTTAAATCAATTAAGTATCTGGGAGTCTGGTTAACGGAAGGTCTAAGGTTCGGAGTACACATCCAAAAGACAGTAGAGAAGGCGAACCGAAATCGGGAGGCGTTGATACGGCTGATGCCAAACATTGGAGGCCCTTCTTCTTCTTAAAGTTCCATCTCCTATGGGAGGTTGGATATCATAACGGCTATGATCACTTTGTTGGCTGCTGATCTGAAAAGTTGTAGTGAACTACAGTTAAACCATTCTCTAAGGTTCCTCAGACAGGAGATGCGTCTTCTTCCTTGGATCCTTCCTTGCATAATAATTCTCAGAAGCTCATATTTTTCTCCTCTAGTTATGTGACCCAAATACTCTAGTTTTCTTCTTTTTATGCTGTTCATAATTTCTAACTCCTTATTTAAACGTCGTAGCACCTCAGCATTGGTAATTCTTTGAACCCACTGAATTTTTAACATACTTCTGTAACACCACATTTCGAACGCTTCTATTTTTCTTATGTGTTGTTTCTTCAATGTCCAAGCTTCCATTCCGTATAGTAAGATAGAAAATATGTAACATCTTAGAGCCCTCAATCTGAGATGCAACTGAAGGTCTCTTTTGGTAAGCATTGTCTTCATTTTCACAAATGCTTGCCTTGCAGTTTCAATTCGGACTTTGATTTCTCGGCTTTGGTCATTTTTATCATCAACCCAGGTTCCCAGATATTTGTATGTCTCTACTTTTTCTATTTGGGTTTGCTCTATCATTAATATTTCATTTCCCTGTTGCGTTTTTGAGACAATCATAAATTTAGTTTTTCTATTATTTATTTTTAGTCCGTATCTAATGCAATAATCGTTAATTCTATTTACCAATTCTTGTAGCGATTCCAGGGTGTCTGCCATTATAACGGTGTCATCAGCAAATCTTATGTTATTTACGTTTACAGAGATTCCATCACCCAGATCCCCAATCGCTTCCTGGAACATGGCTTCACTGTACACGTTAAACAGTAATGGTGACAGAACACAGCCCTGTCTTACTCCTCTCTTTATATCTATATTTTCGGACTTTTGTTCTTCTATCTTTATATTGGCCTTTTGGTTCCAATACAGATTGATAATGATTCATAAATCTCGTCTGTCTATATCTTCGTTTCTCAGTATTTCTATTAGTTTTTCATGTCAGACCCTGTCAAATGCCTTCTCGAAGTCGATGAAACAGGAATAAATATCTAGGTTCATATCTAAGCATCTTTGAAAGAGGACGATTAAAAGCAAACAATGCCTCTCTCGTTCCCAGTCCCTTGCGGAACTCAAACTGAGTATCATCCATAGCCTCTTCTAGTTTTCTATATAATCTTCCATGAATCACCTTTAGAAATATTTTGAGGGTATGGCTTATTAGTGATATTGTCCTGAGGTCTGAACAATCTGGAGGCCCAGGTAGCACCAAAAGAAAGGTGCTAAATGGAATTATCCAGTCAGTGGTAACCTACGCTGTCCCTGTGAGGTGTAGTGTACTAAGCACTGCGAAATACGCTAAGCTGATGAAGACTTCGCAAAGGCGAAAGCTCCTCAGGGTATCTAGCGCACATAGGACAGTTTCAAATGAGGCTCTATATGTCATTGGAGCGGTGATACCGATCGTTTTGTTGTGTAAAGAGCGAGCGAGGATGGATGTAAATATAGATGAGAATTAGAGAGAAAGAACGATAGTAGAGTGGCAGAGAGAATGGGCGAATGATATTCGAAAGGCAAGGTGTACGAAGGAGCTTATTCCCGATCTGCGACCGTGGTGGGCGTGTAAGTTCAGGAAACTAGACTACTTCCTAACGCAGTTTCTGACCAGACATTGTAGTTTTGGCAGCTTCACAAATAGAATAGGCAAATCTGCCTCGGCAGACTGTACTGTTTGTGGGGTACCAGACGCTCCCGCCCACATTTTTAACTGCCAGAGATGGGCAAATGAGATTTCGAGGGACGAATGGGTTTCGGGCAGGATGAAAGAAACATTGTAAACATAATGTTGAGAGGAGAGAAAGGATGGAGAGATCTCCTTTCAGGGATCTGAAATTTATGGTTAATATTATTTATTAGTACAACTACGAGGTATACCACAGATATAAACAAATATTTGGTGGTAAAGACGTAGTATCTCTTATAAGAATAGGAAGATTAAGATGGGCAGGACATCTAGCAAGATCACAGCAGAACAACCCTCCTAGAAGAATCCTTATGTCACAACCCGTGGGAAGCAGAAAAAGGGGTAGGCCAAAACTCAGATGGAAGGATGGTGTAGATGAGGATGGTAGAAAGATAGGCGCAGCAAACTGGCAACGGTTGGCAATGGATAGGACTGCCTGGCGTAATAGACTTGGGAAGGTCGAGACTCTTTCATAGGGCTGTAGCACCATTGATGATGATGATTATTTATTAGTTTATGGCCTAACGTCTGAAACATTTTCTGATTTACGATAATAGGTACGGTTATTTATAAATTTTTAGTTTTTTTATTTTAGTTGTTTATTGAGTGGCAAGATTACCTCTCTGGAACAGTGGTTAAGGTTTTAGCCGGAACACGGGTAATCCGGCACTACCCTGGGGTCTTCTGGCCTAGTATCCTACTCGGCCTTAAGATGCCAGGGTGTCTTGTTCCGTGACGTAGATGTCCAAAAAAAATTTCCCGCGCCGTTGCCTGTCAGAATTCAATGGATACTTTCTTAGACTTTTACTGAAATTTGGCAATACGGCAATAAGTGCTCCTCTCTGTCTTCAGCCTCCATTAAACGTATCTGATGTTTATTATTACTAATTACGGCATTGTTGTTCTCAATGTCAAATATAAAGTAGGTATATTAATTATAATTCTGGTTTATTCCCATAAAATATTGTAGTTGATATCTATCTATTTAGTTGTTCAGAGAGTACATTAACAGCACTTAACAGTATGTTTGGAATTTGGTGCGGCTAAAAATTGAACGAAAAAGAAAATTAATACGTTAAACAATAATGCGTCTAATTCTCGTGACGATTAAAAAAATAAAAAGTCGAGTAAATAAATAAGTTTTATTATGCTCCATTATGTGCTAAAACAGAAAAACTACAATTGCCTATATTAGGTTTATCAATAAATTTAAGAAAGTGTTCCGTTAATTCATTATAAATAAAGTCACAGTCACACTTATAATCCACACATATTGGGGATTCTCCATTAGCAACATCACAAGTATTTAGCAAAATATTATTTCGTAGACAGAAAGCTTCAATTTGTCGTTGATGTAAACAATTTAAAGGATTGCCAAAAATATTGAAAGTCCGTAAGTTAGTTCTTGCATTGTCTCTGTCACTATATTTCATAGAAGTAATCACATTAAAGGATACGTCAAGATAATAAAGCTTATTTTGTGAATAGAAAGCACTCGGGGGAAATTCACTAATAAAGTTATTCCTTAAGTTGTAGAATCTCAACCCTTGCAAATTAGTTACAAGTTTTTCATCGTACGCAGAAATACTATTAGCGGATAAATCCAACAATCTTAATCTTTTTAGTTTATTGGGTGAGATCGTAAACGTTTTCAAATTGTTAAATGCTAGATCTAACATCAATAAATAATTCAAATTTGGCACATTGTGGTCTATTATTCTACTAAGTTTATTGTTGTTTAATTTGATTTTCCATATCTTATCTAAATTGTTTGAAGCAACGTTAAAATAACTTATACTATTGTAAGACAAATCTAAACTACCTAATGCTTTAAAGTTTCCAAAGTTGTTGTCAATTCTTTTAATATCATTGTGACTGAGATCCATTCTCCAAATTGTCGGAATATTTAAATTTGAATTAAAAGTTGATAATGAATTGTTGGATAATTCAATCTCGTATAATGTATTCATATTTAAAAAGCTTTCAGGATCAAGACTAGTTAGCTTCATATTGTTCATTTTTAATCTCCAAACTTTGCCTAGATTACTGAAATTAAAATATTCTACAATATTTCCAGAAACATCTGGCTCCAAAAGAGTATCTACAGTTTGTAAAATATCTTCAAATCGATTGATTAAATTGTCATTTACTCTAAGAACTGCTAATTTTGGAAACGTGTCCTCTAACATATCTATGTCTTTCAAATAATTATTCGATAAGTCTAATTCGAACAGTTCGTACATATTTAAAAACTTATCTCTGTTTAAATATTGCAAACTATTAAAACTTAAGTTTAAGATAGTCAATTGTGTTAATCCGGAAAAGTCATAATGCCTTAGTTCATTATGGTCCAAATGTAATTGTTTTAATCGCAATGATTTACTTAAATCCAGTGTTATTAACTGATTATGCGACAAAATAAGTTCTTCAACATTGCTCGGAACCTCGAACGCCGAAAGTTTATTAAACCTTAAATTTAAAGTCGTTACAGTAGATGGTACGGCATTGTTTTCTATGTACACCAGCCTATTGTTTTGTAAGGATAAGTGCAACAAATTTTCTATAGATAGTTGGTCTCCAAATAAACATTTTATTATATTGTTGGACAAATCTAATGTTTCAATCATGGATGAATTGAAAGCGTTTACACTAACGGCTTCTATTTTGTTGTGCTTTAATGCTACTGAGTTGCATTCTAGATCGGCTAAATCCCCAGGCCATATAATTGGAATATTATGATGTTCTATCACTATATTTTGCAGACGTCTTGCGTATATAGAAAGAAAATCTGAAACAAAACGATTAACCTTTATTAATTAGTAATGCACAAGTATTATAATTGTAGCCCAAGCTATAAAGGAAAAAAATCTTGCATTAATTAGTGAATTTTTGAAACCAGTACAGCGTTATGAAATACCTGGAGTAACCTCCAAGTGTTTGCAACTTTAAATATTGGTTGTAATTTTTTATGGCACTTGTTTTTTTATTGTTTTTAATATATCAAATCATCATTTTGGGGTACAATATAATGAAAGTACATATGAAGAGCTTTTTTACAAAACTGCATAAATCCATTTCCTGCTAAAATACATTTTTTTGTTGAATTTCGAGAGTTTGGTCTTTCTTAGATCTTGTGTATAAGTCTCATGTGTCAAAAGTTAATATTTCCCATTTAAAATAAGAATAACAATCACGTTTCTTCCACAAAACTTAATTAATCCACTCAAAAACTTTTACCCCATGTTCACTCTTTTTTTATACAAAACTTTTATACAATTCTCCTTCTTTAGCTAACCATTAAAATTAGCTTTTGTTTTACAAAACTGCATAAATCCACCGACCTGTAGAACTATCCCTCTACTATTTTTGTTTGGTTTTAAAACCATCTTCTAGAATTAGATATTGATTCGTAAAACAAAATATAATATTCGTTAGTTCTAAAACTACTCACGGGTCGCACTGACAGTGTGTAGCGTAGTAACGCCATGCCACGCTGTATGAGATTATCCGTACTTTTCCGTTCGATGAGACGGGATGTTGTGAATTCGTTGTATGTCAACGTTGTTTCTGTGTTTTGCGTGTTATTTTGAGATGGATAGTGTTGCTAATTTATCGGTGGGATCTAAAAAAGACGATCCATCAAAACAAGTGAGAGAGGGCGTTCAAAAATTATGAAGTACAACGATAATGATCCTCATTTAGTGTTTCTAAAACAGAAGACCAGACCAGGTGCCCATAATTCAAAAAATATTCGTTGTGCTACGAAGAGGGTAAAGAGAAACAAGATCTTGTTTTGATGAAATATATCTCTGCTTTCGAGCCCCAAAGAAGGAGGGGAAGTCGTGCGCCTGTCTCTGTAACTTGCACAAGAACGGTTTCTGTGAAATTTTTTCTAAATAGTCAGAAACAGAAACGCATGATTCCTGTCTGTAAAAAGTTTTTTGCTTTCTCAATGGGAGTACCTGCATTCCGACTACTGCGGATTAGAAAGGTCGTCAATCAAGGTCAGCTGCCCAAAGAAAATAGAGGTGGTTATCGAAGAGAAGCTTTTTTCAGAGTCAAAAAGGAAGCAGTCCATCAATTTCTTGGTAAACTAAATGTTGTCTCATCTCATTTTGGAAGAGGAAAAAGTAAGAGAGTTTATCTTTCAGCACAGTTAAGTGTAAATAAGTTTTAAAAAATGTTTAAGGATGCGCACACTGCCGATTTGCCACGTGAGCTATTCATGTTTTTACCGTATTTTTGTAACCGATTTTAACATTGGATTTTCCTCTCCAGCTACAGACGAAGGCCCCACGTGCACTCGTCTTAAATATCTTATTCAACAAAACGCTCGCGGCTCAGTTGAAAGAATTAGTCCAATGACTGAACTTCGTATTCACAAGCTGATGCATTTTACAAACTAATAAAGGAAGTGCCCAGGGATACTTATAGTTTTGTTTTTGATTTGCAACAAGTACACCCACTCCCTAAAACTCCAATCGGCGATGCCTTTTATCGTCGATAAATTGCATTCTATGCATTTTGCTGTATGCCTATTGACTCAAAAGCACCAACATTTTATACGTGGAATGAAACGCAGGGAAGCAGAGGAGCAAATGAAATCTGATCTGCACTCATCTATCACTTAAGACGCCAAGATCTTTCGTCTTTTTCTGCAGTATCGTTGTTTTGTGATGGTTGTGCTGGACAAAATAAAAATGCTCATATTTCTTGAAAATTATAGTGGAAGTGAGGATTTTCTGGGGTACATTGAAATATTAAACGCCATGTTTTGTTCGATAGCAACGACTTCAACTTTATTTTAATAAGCAATATTGGCAACACGCCATACATCAAGTGTTTACAAAGTACAAAGAAAGATGGCGCTACATGTATTGAAATACCTTTTTTGATATATCACAACACCCCCACTTATCAAAAAATATCTAAACTTTCAAACCCAAACGTAGCCTAAATTTAGAATTTTTAACATTTTTCAACCCTTTAGTAAGGATGTCAGCCAACATTTCATCAGTACTCAAATACTTCAACTCAATAACATTATTTTGGATAGCCTCCCTGATGAAATGGTGGCGAATGTCAATATGTTTTGTTTTTTCATGGAATACTGGATTTATGCACAACTTCTGAGCCCCTTGATTATCATTATACAAAACAACTGAATCCAGTCTTCCTTGAATTTCCGACAACAAATTTCTCAAGTAAATGGCTTCCTTAGTAGCCTCCCCTAAAGCTACATACTCAGCTTCAGTGCTAGAAAGAGCCACTGATTTCTGTTTAACACTCTTCCAAGAAATCGCACCACCTGAAAGTTTAAAAACAAAACCTGTGTAAGATATTCTATCTAACTTATTTGAGGCCCAATCAGCATCAACAAACCCTGTTAAATCCAAATCATCCCTTTTATAAGTCAAACAAATGTCTTTAGTCCCCTTCAAATACCTCAATATCTTTTTAGCACATTTCCAGTGATACTCATTATGATTTTTATTAAATTGACTCAAAAAACTTACACTATATGCAATATCTGGTCTTGTCAAAACTGCTAAAAACATTAGACTACCAATTAATTTTTGATAATATGGATTTTCAACTATTTCTGAGCAATTACTTTCAGTAAAATCAAAATTATCTATTGGTGAGCTGACAACATTGCACTCCTCCATATTAAACTTTCTTAATAACTGATCAATATATGCACTCTGGTCTAATCTAATAGTATCTTTATCCCTATGAATCTTCATACCAAGACACAATTTTAACTGACCTAAGTCTTTAATTTTAAATTTTGAACATAATTCTGCCTTTAATAAATCAGTTTGGACCTTATCATTACTGAAAACTATAAAATCATCAACATATAGAGCCACTATAACTAAACTCTTATCAATTTTTTTAATATAGACACATGACTCATAATCTGATTTATTAAATGCTAGGCTAATCAAAATTTCATTCACTTTTTGATACCAGGCTCGAGAAGACTGCTTTAATCCATAAATGGCCTTTTTTAAATGACAAACTTTATTTTCATTACCTTCAAGAACATAACATTCTGGTTGACGCATGAACACTGTTTCTTGCAAGTCACCATTTAAAAAAGCTGTCTTCACGTCCAAGTGAATAATATCTAAATCTAACTTTACAGATAAGGCTAATAACAATCGCAAACTTGAATACCTTATTACAGGAGAAAATGTCTCCTCATAGTCCACACCTTCACGTTGAGTGTACCCCTTAGCCACTAAACGAGCCCGATAACATACCTGATCATCACAATCAACTTTGGTTTTAAAAACCCACTTGCACTCAACCAAAGTTCCACTTTTTGGAGTATCGACCAACTCCCATGCCTTATTTTCTGCAAAAGATAGCATCTCTTCATCCATGGCCCTCTTCCATCTGGCCGAGTCTGGTCTGGATAGAGCTTCTGACACACTGGATGGGATATCTTCCAGATCTACTTCCTGCTTCTTATGACATTGAAATGTCACATAGTCTTTGAAAACCTTAGGCTTCTTGGTTCTGTCGGATCGTCTTGGTGTACTTGGTATTTCTGGTGTGATCACTTTAGCTGGAACAAACTCTGAGTCATTTGAATAATCTCCAAGGTCATCATCCAAAACATCATGGTATTCTTCCTCATCTGATAGTTTATCTGGGAATTTACCTTGGTCTGGATCCCCCACTTGAGGTAATACCTCTGTCACAGCAATATCATTGCTTGGTGATCCTAAAAAATCAAAGTTTTTTAACAGTTTTGGTTTTTCATTAATGACCACATCTCTACTGGTAATTACACTCTTCTTAATGGGATCATAGAGCCTATAGCCCTTCACATTTTGACCATAACCAACCAAGAACATCTTCTCTGCCTTTTTGTCAAACTTCTGCCTTTTTTCTTTGGGTATATGAACCATTGCCTCACTACCAAAGATTCGAACATGGCTCACATCTGGCTTTTTACCATAGAAGAGTTCATATGGTGTTCTACCTTCAAGACCCCTGACTACAGACCTGTTCCTTAAGTATGCAGCAGTATTGATGGCTTCGGCCCAAAACTGCTTAGGAAAATCTGCATCGAATAGTAAGCACCTCGCCTTCTCCACCAGGGTACGGTTCATTCTCTCCGAAGTACCATTCTGCTCTGGGGTGTAAGGATTTGTTTTTTGATGTGTTATACCATTACTACTTAAAAAGGATTCAAAGTCAGCACTACAAAATTCTCCACCGTTGTCAGACCTAAAACATTTGATTTTGTGTCCTTTTTGGTTCTCAACTAGCAATTTAAATTCTTTAAACTTATCTAGAGCTTCATTTTTGTATTTTAAAAAATAAATAAAAACCATCTTACTCAAGTCATCTTCAAGAACCAAAAAATATCTAGATCCTCCGATGGACATCATCTCCATGGGACCACACAAATCACCATGCACAACCTCGAGCAATTCTGCAGCACTATTTCCACTACTCTTGAATGGCAACCGAGTCTGCTTTCCCTCACAACACACTTGACACAGATTATGCAAACTTGCCCGCCCTTTATAATTCAAGCCCTCAACTGCTCCATCCCTCGTTATACTCAAATCTCTAAAGTTGATGTGACCAAAACGTCTATGCCACAAATCACAACAGTCCTGAGCATACATAGAGAACGCCACTGGCTGAGTCTTAACAAAATTAAGTCTATAAACTTGATTAATTAAATCAGCTGTAGCCACACTTGTACCTTTACTATTAAAAATCTCACAACCTTTCTGGTTAAAAACAACCCTGTTACCATTT